CGTAGTCTAATTTTTTTTCTATAGTAAAATAATGTTTTTGTATATTTTTTGTTAAATTCTCTTATTTTTGAATGAACACACACTCCTAAATTTTAAGTTATTCCGATTTGTAAAAAAAATAAAAAATAAAACACAATCGAACAATCGTAACTGTAAATGAACTTTAAACAGTGATGAGAGTAGACGAAATCATTATTCATTTTTACTTATAAACATTTATAATATATATATATATATATAAAGAGAGAGGGAGAAGGAGAGAAGGTGAGAGAAAGAAATTTGTTAGGTTTCACTTAATATTATGTAGGGACATCATCAATCTCATCTTATGTGAGACTACCGTAGTAATAATGAGCCCAATGAGTCCCCATAGTATCCAACCTCCATAAAGGCCTCATTGTTATTTCCTAGTATAATGTTAGAAGCCACATAATGCAAGCTTTTTGTTTTCAGAGCAGCTCCAATATGTCAAAATGATTCAAACAAATAAGACATTTAGGAGACAATCGTCGTTCTTTCTCTACTGCCACTATTATGCCTTCTACCACTTAAACAAAAAAAATTGATATTTGAATTAAGAGTAAAATAAAAAGAAATGTTAAAAGGATCATCTTTGTACACCCAAGTAAACCATTTCTTATAAGAAATTAAAGGCCCTTAGTAACATAACGTAACAAATTACAGCATTCTCCAGTGCTGAAGCAAGTTGTTACCCATCTCGGCTACGGAAGAGAGGGGTTTTTCAAGTAGTAAACATAGATTTTGCGAGAAGAATCACGAGGATGATTATGATACTCTGGATATACCAAGCTGCAAAAACATCAGGCACAATCAGATACCTCCGTCGAAACCATGGCAGTACAAACCATGAGAAAAAGAAGAAGAACAAACTGTAAAACAAACCCTTATTATGCTGGTCTTCAATCACTGTCACCCTTGCACTTGAATCACCAGAAACAGAAACCAAAGCCATGAAAGAATTGCAAATCAAACATGTATTATTTGAGAACAAGAAAAGAGGAAAACCTGGAATCCTGGGAGAAATCCATGGATGTAAAAACTATCAGGTGTGCCCCTTTTGAGTCTTCGCTGCACCTGCATATTATTGGAGAATAATGTATTATTTGAGAACAAGACAAGAGAAAAACCTGGAATCCTGGGAGAAATCCATGGATGTAACAATATCAGGTGTGCCTCTTTGAGTCTTCGCTGCACCTGCATATTAGACGCTTTGATAATAGCAATGTCACCCTCAATGGTTCCCCTGCAAAATGAACATACGGGAAACTTAGAACATTAGAAAAAAGAACAAGAAAAGATAAGACGCCAATTCACTAATAATGAGTATATAAACACAACCATGCTAGTATCACCACATGCAAAAAACATCAGATGAATGCTGTGAATGTTCATCTATAGTATTAAAGCATCCAAGAAGCCCAGTGAGTCATCAATGTTCGAAGTACATTCAGAAATGCATTATGAAAGCATTATGAACAACACTACAAGCCGATCTTATGAAAAATTTTATCTGTTAAGTGCTAACAAGTCAATAAAGTATGACCAGTGATGGTTTGCTCCATAATTCCAGGGAAGGGAAATAAAAACTCTCAAAAGTAACCATAGGCATGACGGATTATTCCCATTTTAAATTTCAGAATACACTTACTAATAATTTTGGACAAAGGTATCCTTATAGTATAAAAGATGGTTAAAGACGTATGCTCCGTCCAATAAAGTTGAATAAGGACATCCCAAACATTACAAGTAGCATACATTATAGATATTGGATCTTTCATCTGGCACTTCAAGAACATTAGCTATTACATTCAGCCAAGGTTTGCTGCATATGCGACCAACAGGGATAAAACTTTTTTCGTCATTGGATAGAGCCTAACAAAATAATAGATCCTTTGTGCAATGTGCTCTAGGGAAATTTTGCCAAAATCTTATTGAAAAAAGGAAAAATAAAATAATTAATAAAAAAACTAAAAAAAATAGAAAATATAAAAGAGTAAAAAAGGAAAATAAAAGTCCCCAATAGTTTTCAATTTTGAAATTGCAGGAACTCAATATTTTGGTCTATTGTTTATAAATATTTAGCTCACATCTGGCAAACTAATGTTTACATGACATTCAAGCATATTTAATTCCTGAAATTGCAAAAGCAATAAATAAAATGGAGAAAATTTTTTGCAATGTGAAGGAAAGTATCTTTGTAATTTGTTACAATATTGATATGTTTGTGATATTTGCCCTCGACGCCCTCAACGTCCTCCAGAATGAAGAAGGAAAGGAAGGAACGTAAAGACAATGGATGACAAAGAAGTTTGGTTATGTTCAACCGCACTTTTATGTGTGGACTCATTATATATATTATATTATAATTATATATATTAGGGTTGATCCAAAAAAGGTGAGGACCTTAAACTTTCCCTTAATTCGTCCCAAGCCTAGGTAAAGGATATGGGTTGTGTTAGATAGACAGCCAACATAAAGCTTTGTCAATACTTTCTATGAGTCTTGAATCTACATTATCTGCTTATGCAGAGCATTGGCCTAACTGAGAGTATGACCCTTGATAGAGTGAAGTGGCATAATATAACTGAGCCCAAATAGTTGGAAAAAAGGCTCTGATGATAATGATGATCCACTTTTTCAAAATGAAAAGGACACTTTAAGCTTTTGTACATGTTTATTTGTTTATGAAGCTTTAATTGACTAGACCCCTTTCTTATTCTTTTGTTTTTGGGAGAAAAGTTAACCGTGTTACGTATAAAAATATGTTGTTTACAAAAATTGTATGGTAGTCAACAAGCTGTGGTAGCTACAAGAGGTTGTAATAATTCAGAGTCATGTTGAGAAGAATGGGGAAGAAAAGAGAGAGATGAGAGACAAGTAACTCCTTTCGGTAGGAGGCTACTACAACACCCAAAATGTAAGACTGGCCCGAATAAGGATGAGTGCCTTGCACTTTAAAGGGTCAGGGGCCGTAGGATGGCTAATTTTGGATCGTCAGCACCCTCCTTAGTGAGGGTGTTTGCTAAGGCATTTGCTTGTCCCCAAATGTGAAAAAGAAATACTCATGGAGCCAGTCACTTCATTGATTTCTTGAAAAGGTGTTCCCAAGACCAGGGACAGGGAGAAAACTTTTTGGCCCGATTGATGACATTCTTGATCACCCTAACCTACCAAGGAGGAACCCCATGGTGCTGAAACAACTTAGCCACATTGGTAGTGCCTGCGCCTCAGCAACAATTGCTTTCGTGTTTCCAAGTGGACCTGAAAAGACAAAGAAGACAGATGATTCACTGTTCCTGACTACTCCTGCGCTTCCTGGATCAATGTAGGAACATCTGTTGAAATTAAGTTTGACATTTCCTTGTTTGGGAGGGACCCGAAAAAATAGATCTACAAGTGCCCATGTGGGTGGACTTGAGATGTACTGCCAGTTTGGTAAGAAATCAGAAGTGGAGAAGGAAGTGAACTCCTTTCATAGTCTAGTGAATCTATTGACAATGGTCGTTAGTTTGTCTTTCAGGGGCTCTATATAGGATCCCCAAGCCTCAAATATCCTGTTGTTATACTCATTTCAAATGGTCCAAACCAGGGCCAAAATGCGGATCTCCAAAGGTCTTGTTATGCTCATTTCAATGGTCCAAACCAGGGCCAAAATGTAGATCTCCAAAGGAGAAGACCAGTCCCTGGGAGGGTGAGCTAAAAGTAAACTGTGTGAGACTTGTCTGACACCCCCAATATGAACCCCCTCAAAGTCAAAGAGGTTTAGGAGGAAAGACCATTGTTTGATGATGGTTATCTCACATAGCAGGAACAGGTGGTCAGGCAAGTTTCACACCTTTACACGTGATACGACAGTTTGCTAGATGAATCCCCCTTCTTTAAAGGTGGTCGACATTTAGGGTCTCCTTATGAATAAGTAACCAGCAAAAAGCCTGATCTTTAGGGGGATACTGGGGTGAACCATGCTTTGTTAGCCATAACCAGGTTTGAAGGGCAAGGTCCGAGTTGTTTGTAGAAAGACCGAGAACCTACCAAACTTTGCTGGCTGCAACACCAGGTTATTTCAGGCATTCAGGGTAAAGTGAGGGTTGAGAAGATAAAGAAATACCTCCAGCAGTCGGTTTCTTGGTCAGTGAGGTTCCTTTGGTATCTTGGGTTCAGACAGCGTGACCCCAATGATTTTTGCATGTTTCTGATATGGGGCATTCTTGGTTCATAGCAACGTGAACCAAGTGTGGCAATAATGTTTTCATATTTCTATCTCCCGACCATGGGCTCAGATTTAAGTCCTCAAGAAACAAAACCAATAATAGAAAACAGATTAATAACCACAAAAGCAAACATATTGCCTGTCAGAACATAAGTAGCCACTGGGTTATCAACGGAAAAAAAAAAAGGATAAGTAGGCACAAAGTCCAAGACACCACAAACTCAATAACAGAAGCACCACCATTGTACAGTGCAACATCATCTGGCATTTGCAACAAGAATTAAGAAGAGTATTTCTATTAGTAGCCCAAATGGGCCCCATGTTGGGGGGCATTTATAACAATTTCCAATCACAGTGTCCAAATTGGCCTCATGTTTCGAAAGGCGGAAGCACATCCCAAGCACCCTAGCAGCCAGGGGTTGTTGCCTTATGAATGAGGCACTCCAAAGAACTTTTTTTTTTGGGGGGGAGGGAGTGGTGTTGGGAGGTGTTGAACATTTCTAGGTGTGTGTGTGTGTGGAAAAAGCTAACATTGGCCACTAGGTTAATGTGATAGAACAATGCCCCACATACAAAACCCTCAACTTGACCATCCAAACAGAATTTGTCTGACCCTAAATTTTAGGGATGGTTTTAAAATCAGTAGATGAACAACTTCAAAATAATTTATAATAATAATTTTGAGCACATCTAACTCTAGATCTAACAGAGCACCGAAATAGTTGGTTGGCAATTGACATTAACCCAATTTTCTCTCTCCACAAAAACCATTTTACATGATTTTCTTTTTTATAATATGCTGACTCAAGGCAATTTTAACTGTTTCAATCATAATAATTATGCCAATATGAAATCATCAGTAAGAATGATAACAATACCAACTACAACAATAACTAATGTTCCTCAAAGCAGTGAACAGAATTTGTCTTCTAATAACACCAACCGAGGGTTTTAAACAATTATAAACTTTAAAGTTTTTTTTGTTGTTTTTTAAGCACAAATATTAACGCTTTTAATCAAAAGTCCTCTTTTTTTAATATATTGTTAACATTGTATTGAAGGTAAAGAGAAGGTTACAAAGAGGTCCCCGAGAGGTGAAGTTACAGCGAGAGGTGACAAAGGAAAAATGAAAATGAAAACAACAAGGTCCAAAGGCAAACAAAAGAAAACAACCAAAAGAACCCCTGGAATCCACAGGAGCATACAACACCAAAGAGGCTAAGAAAAGCAAACCTAAAACAAACTAAAAACAGAGAGACACAAAACTCAGCACCATCGCAGTCCTTAATGGCATAGAAACTCCTTGTCTGGCTTGTTCCTCCTCTACCTGGTTGGCCTCCCTCCAAGTATGAGTCCAGGAGACCTGTGTACACCTGTAAAGATTATGAACTTCGTCAAAGATGTGCCACAATTTCCAAGGGGGTTGGGAAAGGCTAGATGCCCAGAGAATGACATTTTTTTGAATCCCCTTCTATAGTGAGGGAGGAGACCCATGAAGGATCGAACAATCTTAGGCCTTCAAGCAGGCCATGGGATTCGGCTTCCGTGGAGTTTGTTGTCCCTATGGAGGAAGAGAATGAAAGAAGGGAGATGCCTTCATGATTGTGGAAAATGCCACCTATGCCTACGGCGCCAGGGTTGCCCAGGGAGGACCCATCGAAGGTAAGTTTAATGGTGCCCCTATTAGGGGCTCTCCAAAGGGTGGACCGAGAGACTTTCATTTACCTAAAAGAAAGGACGTGTCCCCAATTAAGGTGAAAGTCGTTTGCGGGCATGGCTTTGAAGTGTTTGTGATTTGTGGCCCAAAAAATTACCGTGCCCTGAATGGTCTCTATGAGTTTGTGAATTGGTGCCATAACTCATTGGAAAACCCTGTTATTGTGCTCCTCCCAAACTGTCCAAAGGGTTGCTGCGACTATAGCTTTCTAGAGTAAGCTACCGGCTTTAGGTCAGGGGAGGAAAGAGCAGAGCTTGAAGAGACTAGGGATGGATTCGAGAGTGACCCATAGCAAATCGAAAAGTTGGAGTCACACCATAGGTTAGAAGCTAGAGGGCAATGCATAAAGAGATGGTCAATTGTCTCTTCTACAGAGAGGCACATAACACACCTACTGGGGGTTTGTAAGCCGTGTCTCTGTAATTGATATATGGTGAGGACCCTTCCCCACAAGGCGAGCCAGTTAAATAACAGGTAACTATGAGGGATCAAAGGGTTCCAAGCCCTCGGAGCCGAAGGATTGGTAGAGGAGGTTCCTGAGGGTTCAGGTTGGGGGTGATTGAGGAAACGAAAAAGAGAGGCTACTGAGAAGGTTCCTCGTCTCGTAAGAGCCGGTGAAGTTCAGGGTTCCAAGAAGTGGAGGTGCCCGAAACCGGACGGAGTTCCTCTCGATGCCTGGGGATTTCTAGCAAGGCAGGAGAGAGAAGGAATTGGATGGAAAGGGAAGAATCTCCCACCCAAAGATCAAGCCAGAATCGCACATTTCGCCTGTTCCTGGGAAAAAACCTGATATGGGCTAAGAAATTGTGGAGAGAGTGTGAGATGGACTGCCAAAACCCGGAAACACTATGGGGATGAGCTTCTGGTAAGGACCAAGGCAAAGCAGAAAGTCGATAATTGGATCGAAGGATGAGGTGCCAAAGGTTGTCAGGCTGAGTGGCGAGTCTCCAACACCACTTGCAAAGGAGGGTAAGGTGGCCGTGAATTCCCAGGCCCCCCACAGAGAATAGCTTCCATACAATGTTGGAAGCAATTGGGAAATTTGGGTCAGGGTTGAAAGGCTCAACTCCATATGAGTTATGCAAAACACTACTAAGAGCTATATTTGCTTTAGAGGATTGGAGTACGTGTAGGTGGTCTAAAGATGCCAAGGGAAAGAAGACACGGGATATTATTCTTTCTTAATATTTTTCGCATGGGGTAAAGCATGCGATACTAGTATTTTTACCTTTGGTGAAGGTCTTGCTTTTGGTTGATGCTGATAAGCCCTCTATGGACTTTATATATGATGCACTTGAAGAAGCTAAGAGGGATTGAAGGAGCTAAGAAGGAGATTGTAGATAATTTGGGCAATGATGAGGTACGACCCAATTTGGGAGATTATAGATGACAAGTAGGATAAGAAGCTCCATAGACCATTGCATGCAGGGTACTACTTGAACCCCAAGTTCTTTTATGTTGATGTTGATATTGAGGCAAAAGATACAACTATAGATGGTTTTAATGAGTCCTTGCGAGATTAGTTCCCGATCCAAATATCCAAGATTAGATATCAATTGAACAGCTCATTCATACAAGTGTGCTTTGATGTCATTCGGGAAAGATATGGCAGTAAGATAGATAAGCAAACACGAACCAGGTAATAATAATATATTTTGTATATTTGTTTGAAAATTTCTTTCAAGTTCCTAAAATTTTTTATGATAATGTTAAATAAGTAAATTAATTATAAGGGTTGCCCACATATTGCAGCCCAATGGTAGAGACAACATGGGAGTAGTGCTCTACACCTCCAGAAGGTTGCCCACTTCGTTTGAAATGGTATTGTATATTCTTTCTTTTTTTTTACAAGTTCATTTTTATAATATAGATTCATAAGAGTGAATAGATACAAACATATTAACAGATGATATAATAGTTTACTGACATATGACTTAATTAGTAATAGTAATAAAAGTAGACCAGTAGCCTAGTACTCATGCATTGTTTCTTATAGGTGCATATAAAGAGAAGAAACACGCTCGAATAAAGGAAGCTCAATGACTTGGTTTTTGTTAGAGAGAATCAGAGGCTCGAAGAAAGTAACCAACAAAAGAAGGATCACATTGCTTCGAAAGATATGAATAATGCTTCTGATTCGCTCGTCGGAGACCATGGTACTGAGGAGGTATTCCCCAGGGAGGGTTTGACTTGGGAAATGATCGAGAAGGCTTCGAGTCGAGCTTCTGATTCCTAGGCGGGCCACTCGAGCAACGAGTTCTACTGGTACTTCACACTCATGAGGGAGAGGGAGATAGAGGAGGAGGAGGCAGATTTAGAAGAAACTGCAGAAGAAGAGCAATATGTTGAAGAGGGTGATGATTCTGATGATGACGGTCTTGATTCCAATGCAAATGCAAGCAATAACGATGTTGATTCTGATTCTTATTGACGATGATTGAAGAAATGCATATGTCCTCTATCTTCTTCTTTCGTAATTGCACCATCTCGATTTGGACTTTAGACATTTGGATGTTAAACTTTTTGCCTTTTTGGACTATTTTGGTGTTTGGTTTTATACTTATGTAAGTTTGTTAAAGACTTTGAGAGTTGGAGACTTCGAGTCCATGTTATTATGGAATATGGAGAATTGGAGACTGTTACTAATACATAGCCTATTAGACTTTTAAATTTTGTATGTTTTGAATTTTGAAAAATTGTGAACAAGTTTATTCTCAACATGCGATATGACATATGTTTATATATAAAAAGGTACGTTACAATATTTTCAAATGCAATAGATTACAAAATTAACACAAATATATGCATATATGTGCGTTCAGACAGCAAATATATGTATATATTTGAATATTTCTTTTGAAACCTTGATTGAAATTCAGAGCAATGCCTATTGTACTTTCTTCAAATTCTACTTGTTCACCTGCCATTACTTCATAGAGACCGTGAATACGAGCAATGCCATCCCCATTGGAAGTATAGCGCCGGTTATTGACAATCTTTACTTTTCAATTATATTGCTCAATTCCGTTCATAGATAATAATACTAATTTTATCAGCTTGAGTGGTTACACTTAATGCCTCTTAATTCTCTTTCAGAACCAGAAAAAAAAAGGGGCAAAAAGAAGAGACAGTTTCAGATTAACCTAAATAATTTATTTCCTCATGCAAAGAGTGAAGGATGAAAATACACCAGAAATACTCATGAAAATAGGCTCAAAATCATCACAAAAAATAACTGGGAGTAACCATCAATGAATAAGTTGATGAATTAAATGCCTAAACTCTAAAAAAATAAAACGCATAAATCTGCATCACATCTAAGGACACACAAAGAGTTTTAGAGACTGACTGGTTCAGAGAGAGAATTGGTAGCAAAGTCGAATTGGGCGATCAATAGGGTGTTTTGGAGACCAGTACGGCTGTCGCCTCATCCTCCTCCAAGAACAATGAAGCGTTGTTCATTTCCTCTCTGTTTTTCGCCTGGTTCTTCTTCTGAGTTCTCCTCTCCAATCACAGGAGGCACCCAGTACGCGTAGAACAGAGGCAGACCAATATTCTTAGCACAGGGCAGGATCCGCTTCCTTCGCCTCCCCATTCTCCAAAATTTACAAACGCACACACAATCTCTCTCTCTAGAACCTTGCTTTCTATCTCTAGTTTTGAGTGTAGAGAAGCGGGATCGGCTTCCTTCCCTTCCCCATTCTCCCCTCTCTTTATTGCTGGGGATGTGAATTGGAAGCACAAGTTGCAGAGCTCACTTGAAGACAGTAGAGTGAGAGAGGATGATGATGAGAGGAATATGTCACTCCCTTTGAGACACGAACCCCTCTCTCTCTCTCTCTCTAAAACCAGGAAGTGCTCTCTCTCGCTCTCACACACACAGAGGAAGTGATGTCTCTCTCTCTCTTTCTGATGCGTATGGATCGCGCTCTTCTCTCGGGCACCAGGGACCACTCGATTTATAGTAAAACGATTTCATATTCCCGCCGGAGCATATCGTCAATTTACTATGGATGAGGCCTAAGCTTTATGAAAACAAAAATAAAGCCACGGTAATGGAAATCTCCACACGATCTCCAACAACACCATCAGATGAAGTTTCTACGAGGCCTAAGGTTTATGAAAACAAAAATAAAGTCACGGTAATGGAAATCTCATGGATCTATAATCAATTTCCAACAACACCGTCAATAAAATTTGAAACTAAGAAATGGTAGAGGTCTTGCGGATAAATGAATACTTATTTTTAAGGTGGAATAGACGGTCTAAATAGTTTATTACAATATACACAACTTTAGAGCTTAAAATCCTTTCTTTTTTTCACAATCATAATGTTCTAGCGAAGATATCTATATAAAAGTTCTACAATGCTTGATTTGTAATTTTTGATGAATTATGAGATGATGTTTATTTATTTTGATAGGGATGCAACCCTATCAAACCATTTTCCATTTATTATTCCTGCAAAACCTAAGACCCAAATTTAGGAGGAAAGTAGCCGTACCTATTTTCTGTCATTTTTTAAGTATCAAATAATTTAGCTCTTCGTTGAGTCGTCGTCGTCATCATCGTAGTTTTATCTTAACTATTTGAGGTAAGTTATTTTGTTATAATATTCTACTCTATCAAGGGTTATACCCTCAATATGAATATCAGTGTTCATATTTTTTCTCATTAATTCTATCTATGTTCTTGTGGGCATTCTCTTTGTCCTTTTAAAGGCTTTTACTTAAACCAAATCGCATCTACTATTTATTGGCTGCTGCTTTTTATTCTACCAGGGCGCACTTGTAATATCATTAAGAGGTTGCAGTGTAATTTCCTCTGGGCAGGGACTATTGAAAATAAGGGATTGCATCTTGTAAATTGGAATAAGCTATGCCTGAAAAGAGAAGAGGGGGGATTGGGTTTGCGTCATGTATTAGACTTTAATGTAGCTGGTACGATGAAGTTTGCTTTGAGAGTCATTTTTATCTACTCTCTTAGCAAGATTTTTCAATTATAGTTACTATTGCTACACCACGATTTGGAAGGCTAAGTTTGTAATATGCTTACATGCCTGATGTGTTATAGTTTTGGGTATAAATAGGCTGCAACTTAATGTTAAATGGTTGGTTGACAATAGTAGGCACATTAATTTATGGGCCGAACTATAGTTATCAGAATAGTCTATAGTACGAATTCTCTCTTGCTTCTTGGTTCTTAAGCCTTGGCAAAAGTATCTGATTTTTTAGAATGTGCACCTCTCAAATGGAATCTTCTCCCCTCCTTCTTGGACCATATCTCCCAAGAAGTACTATCTAATGTTTTACATATCCATTCATTTGAGGATCAGCTTGTTTGGATCCATGCGGCCGATGGTATTTTTTCAGTGAGGAGGGTTTGGGAGTACATCAAAAGGGATGAGCCTGTAAAACCTGTCCTCATAATCTTGTGGTCTACGCCTTCTCTTCCATGGGTGGAATGGTTCACATGGTTACCTTTGTATTCCAGTTTACCTACTTCATCATTACTTCAATCAAGGGGCCTCGCTTTAGTTTCTATTTGCCCATTGTGTGCCTAAGAGGAAAAATTTCCGGATCATGTTATGGTGTAATGCACATACTCTAATTTGATATGGAGATCCATTCTCAATAGATTCGGGAAGTGTTTTCCCCTTGAGCAAACCATAGCTACTCTGATGGCCGATTGGATCAAATTTAGATTTTGATCCACAAGTATGCAGTATGTTTGGAATAGTATATAATCCATTACCATTTTGAGAAATTTTTGATGGAGATAAATGCTCGTGTCCTTGGGGGGGCCAAGTGCACTTAGGGAGCAACTCTTGCAACATATTTTGCATTAGGTTAAGGCTTTGGTGTGGCTGCCACCTCTTTTAGGTTTCTTCAAGCTCAACATTGACAGGGCTTCCAGGCGTAATCCATGTAGCATTGGTTGTGGGGGAAATGATGCAGGTGGATTCATTGCGGCCTTTGCATCCTTGTTGAGGAATAACTCTGATAACACAACTGAATTCTATGCATTGGAGAAGGGGCTCTCACTAGCAAAGGAGCTAAAATGACTACCTAGTATTATTGAAAGTGACTCCAAGCTTCTTGTTGATTCCATAAGTCGTCGTTGTAGTCCTCCTTGGAGATTGCGCACAATGGTGGATATTTGTAATTCAAAGCTTGGCTCTTTTGTTGGTAATCATTGGAAGATCTCGCATATCTATAGAGAGGCCAACTTGGTTCTTGATGTCTTGGCCAAGGCTGCAGTTTCTATGAATGAAGCAACGGTTTGGCGTGCTGGCCCCTCAGATTTTGTAACGCCTTTCATTTTATCTGATGTTGCTAGTATTCCCTTGCCAAGGGTTGTATAAGAATTGTTCATGTAACATATTTTTGCTATTTTTAATAAAACGGGTAGTGGACTAATATCCCCATTGATTAACCCAAAAAAAAAAAAATCGCATTTACTAACCGGCCCTATATTGGGTCCCCGCTGTATATGGGCAGCCCACCTAAATCTACTTTCCTCATCATGTCTCTTATTGGAGCCACCTCTAAGTTCTTTCAAATGTATTCTTTCATATTTAGTAAGTTGGAAGTTTGTAAATTTTGGATAAAATTTTGGATTTTGAAGATTTGCTATTTAGAATATAATATATTTATAAATCCAAAATTTGAAAGTTTCATATTTTTAAAACCCAAAGCTTTTGCATTTGGATTCTCCAAATTTAAATTTTTAGGATTTAAGAACCTCAAATTCTTTTTATTCCCACGGTACACCAACAGTGGGATGTGGAACTAGAAGAACTTTCCAATTTTCAAAATATGAATTTTCATGAAATTACCATAGGAATTTCGGATCTCGAAGATACAAGAAGGGGCAATTTGGGTTTTTTTTTTTTAAAAGTAAAAAAATGAGTTATGAACCAAAATTTGAAAATTGAAGCAAATTTTTCTTATTTTTTATCACAATATTCTGGGGAGATATGTACATAAATTTATTTTAATTTTATATTTTACTATTTAAAAATATTGTCATATGTATTTATACGACTATATCTATGTTGTCTAGCTATTACTATACTATTCTTAAATACAAATACTAAAATATGAGTAATATATGAATGACAAAATATGTTCCACTCAGAATATTATTATTTATAATAAAATATTGAGAAAATTATATATACTCCCCAAAATTGGACTTTCTAGACAACCTCCTTCCAACCAAAATTTTTTTCACAATTGTTACCCCAAAACAAAAATTTTTAACAAATACCCCCGAATCCAAAAAGAATGTCACATAACTACCAAAATGCCCTCCCTTTAGTTATATCCACGCCCCAGTCTGACATATTATGCACTCGATCAGGCATAGTATCCACTCAGTCCGACAGGAGGTGCACTCGACCCGGCATTGTGTGTTGTCCATCAGGTAGAAGGTGATGTCAATCCGCCAATGTTGTATGGTGATCCTGTAGCAAGTATATCGATCTCGGTTCGGCAAGTGAAATTGTGGTTTAGCAATATGTGCCATCGGTTTGGTACTTGTTTGTCGCAGTCTGACAGGGAGCTTATTGACATGGGTACTGGTCCAAAAAGAATATGTGTCAAACCATCTTTGGTCATTAAGCGCTTACGGGGATGTGATGCCAAATGTAAGGACAATGACATTTTCATTTAAAGAACTATAACTTTTTATTTTGGGGGGTATTTACTATAAAAGTTTGTTTTGCGGTAAAAGTTGCAATACAAAAAGTGGTTGGGAGGAGGTTTTTAGAAAGTCCAATTTTAGGGGGTATGTGTATTTATTTAAGTAAATATTAATTTCTTACCATTTTAGTAATAAAAAATTCAAAAAAATAATGGTAATAATATTATATACAAATATTGAAATTATATTATAATATCATAATTATAATAATTTTAAAAAAATATAATATCATAATATTTAATATCATGATTTGTTAACAAAAAAATTGTAATATTACAATATTGGTATAAAAATATGTTCATACACCAAGATAATAATATAATATTATAAAAATAATAATAATTGGAAACCATTTATGTAAGGGTGGGGCCCTAAACAATCAAATATAGACGTACCTCAAAAATTCGCTAAAAGAGGTTGTTTCGGTGCCCAAAAAGCCTCAAATCAATCATCTCGACTTCAAGATGTATTGACATGAAAAAAATGGATTTCAAAGTTTTGAAAATAGAGAATCTTGTATTATACTTTATGGACCATCAATTTTCAAGATTTCCAAGTGTTTATAGATCTGCTTGATCTTATACTATTTTTGAAGCTTTAAATTTTATAATTAGACATGAAAATAGATTCTCAAGTCATCACAAGGATTTTCAATATTGAAACAACATCATTCGACAACATTTAAAAGTGCACCTTCATTTGATTGTTTAAGGCCTCAGCCTTATGTAAACCACACCCCATAATAATATAATGACATTAAATGTTTTTATTATAGAAAATTGTTTCATGCGGGCTGGACCACATTTCTACATATGTGGTCCAGAAAGTGTAAAGCATCCATCTTTAAGATTGATGCAAGTAGGTGTTCCATCTAAAAAACAAAGGAAATTGATGGTCTAAATGTTTTCGTACTAGAATTATTATTTATAAATTTTAAACTTTATTTATTTCATATTCATGATCTCCATGTTAGAGATTACATGTCTTTAAAAATTAAATCTTAAAATCCATCTCAAAAATAAATTTATTAACGAAGCCCGTATTTCTACATATGCAAGCTTGGCTGCATAGAAACCGAGCATAATATTACTACATTATAATATCTTATTTTAACATATTAAAAAAACAATAAATAAGAAAATAAAATGTATATAATGATATTATATCTTTTTGTCTCTTTTTTTCTGTTGAAAATATGGAGCTCAAAATTTGAGAT